AGCTAATGGTTTACACCTAGGGTGATAAGGAACTTGATTTTGTTTTACTGCTAATTTCAACATTGCATCGAAAACTTCCATGGCCACTGTGAACAAATAGGGAGACAATGGATCCCCTTGACGAAGACCACGCTTCATAGCAAACACACCACAAGACCCCCCATTCAAACCTACACTAATCCTTGAACAGCAAACACAAGCTTTAAGCCAGCTAATGAATTTAGTAGGAAACCCCATTACTTCAAGGACAGTAAATAAAAATGACCAGTCAACAGAATCAAACGCTTTCATGATGTCAATCTTAACAGCACAACGAGGAGTAACATTCTTGCGATGATAACCCTCAACTAACTCTGAAGCTAAGAGAATATTATCACAAATGGAGCGACCTTTAATGAAAGCAGACTGAGAATTGGAGATAATACCAGGCAAAACTGATGCTAACCTGTTGGCCAGGATCTTTGATATCCCCTTATAGATTGTGTTACAGCATGAAATCGGCCTAAAATCTTTCATATTCTCTGCACTAGGTATCTTTGCAACCAGAGTAAACAAGGTAGAGTTCAGGATAGATGGCATTATACCTGACTGGAAGAATTCCCTAGCCACTTCCACCACCAATTCACCTATTAGTCCCCAATGTAGCCTATAGAATTCTGAGGGAAAACCATTAGGCCCCGGGGCCTTATCCCTTCCAAGATGTTTAAACACATTCCCTATCTCCTCCCTAGTAACTGGAGCAATCAACCCCACAGACTCCTCCTCTGATAACCTCTTGAGAGACAACTGCTCATAGAAGCTAGAAGGCTGCATAATCACATCAGGATTAACTTTCCCTATTAACTGCCTATAGAACTCCACAGCTACATTCCCCATTTCCTTTATATCTGTCACTGCTTGTCCTTGTGAGTTTACAAGTCGAGTAATCTGCTGCCTGTGAGTTTGAATTTTGACAGATCGATGAAAGAATGCAGTGTTCATATCACCCTCTTGAACCCCTTTCATTCTAGCCTTTTGTTTATAGAAACTTTCCTCAGCTTTTTGCATTTCACAATATTGCAGTGCAAGCCCCTTTTCCTTGTCCGCCAATTCCTCAGTGGGATTGTTTAATAGTGACAACTGTACCTGCTCCAATTCCTGCTCCATGCCACGAACCTTAGAAGAAATGTCAGAATAAACTTCTCTGTTAAGTTTCTTAAGCTTCAACTTCACCTGCTTCAACTTACCATAGAATATGTAATAGGAACGACCCTTGACAGCAGTATTCCAGGCTTCAGATACCAGATCAAAATAAGATGGATGACTAGACCAGAATTTAAAATACTTAAATGGTTTTGGCATGCTTCCCAACTGAGGACTTACTTGTAACAACAGACCACAATGATCAGATATTCCAGGAGCTGTGGTATTAGCAGTACTTGTGGGAAAACCAGAAAGCCAAGCCTCATTTACAAGAATCCTATCTAATCATTTAGCTATTGGATTCACTCTTTGCTTGTTCCACCATGTGAACCAGGCCCCCAGAACCTTGTGCTCAACCAATTGCATCTCATTAATCCAGTTCTGGAACTCTACCATGCTGGGATTCATAACATCAAGATTAGAAGCCTCCTTTGGAGAAAGTATTGCATTAAAATCTCCCAATACCACCATAGGTAGATTGTCCTTCTGTGATAGCAGATCCCTATACAATTCTGACCTCTCAGCTTCCTTATTAGGACTATATACCACCATAAGCATAAATGGAGTCACTCCCCAGACCTTCACCTTTAGAAAATGCTTGCCATCCTCAACTTTTGTTATCTTCAAACCCTCCCTCCAAAGTAACCAGACTCGACCATTAGGGGATTTGGGGTAGTTGTTCAGATTCTGAAACTGACTAAACTGTTTAGTAAGTATACCTACACTATTTGATTCTGCTACTCTGGTTTCTATAATAGCTATTATATCTAACTGCAACCTACGAACTTTCTTCAGCACTGTAGAGTGCTTTTCAGGGGCATTAAAACCCCTGACATTCCAACATAGAACCTTCATTTGCCACGTTTCCTCCCTCGACCTCTACCCTTCACAGGAGCAGGGGGCAGCAACTTGCTTTGGGCTAACACGATTTAATGATGGAAAACTCACCTCATCCACAGACAATTTCCCCAAGGAACTACCAGAATAATTCCATGGGCTCTTAATCGACCCAGGGGCAGGAGATCTAATACGATTCTTCCTATTTGTAACCACCTGAAACCCATCCTCCACAGATCCAGCAGGTGATTGACTAGACTGTGCATCAGCTCCAACAATAGTAGCAGATTGTGCAGAAACCTCAACTATAGCATTAGCACTAACAGGTTCAGTAGCTTCCACCAGTAAAATACTTTTCCCTTTATCCCTGGAATCCTGAGGTACCTCCAACACTCTTGGTTGCTTAACTACCCAAACCTGTTTCGTCCTCCCTCCTGGATTGGAACAGTCATGACCAAAGACATTACACTTCACACATTTGCACGGAACATGACAATACTCCACATCCACAAGCATTTCAGGTTTGCCATCCGGGGTAATGCTTAGTTTATTGACCATATTCGATTTCACTGTCACCTCAATACAAACCTTGGCCATCCCGAGCCTTGTCCCCTATTTCGTAGGATAATCCATACAAAGCGGCTTACCCAAAGAACTTGCAATCCGCCCTAACCCCTCCTTCGTAGTCATCTCAGAAGGCAAGTTCGATAACCTAACCCATACTGGGACCACCGAGTTATCGATAGAGAGAGGCTGAATACCTGGCTCCCATTTCCGCAGAAAAAGCATGTTCTCCTTATGGTGCCATGGCCCCCCTTCGAATACCCAGCGACAAACCTCCGCCGTCGGAAATTGAAAGAGAACCAGAGATTCCCCCAACCAAGAAACCCTAATCGCCCCGTCACGTCCCCAAATCCAATTTGCCCAGAAGTGTATAGATGACAGTGACGACGGCCGATCAAGGAATTGCCCAACAAGACAATTAACCCAGCGCTTTGAACCCTCATCGATAACAGACGCCGGAATTCGCAATGACCCGTTGACAAACTCCGACTCGTAATAGTCCAGCTTGAAATCAGGATTGATCGAAAAAAGAGACGCCCAGGTGCGCCCGTCACCGACGGCACCTGAGGGGGCTCCCCCGGTGACGGTCGTCATCGGCAAAACGATTTACGATTCAGAGAGAAACGGAAGAGAGTTCTTATTCTAACTTCTTCTTTTGTGACTGTAAATTTTTTAACTTCTTTATCACAATTGTGTGCTAAAGAATGAATAACTCTTATATTTATAATCTTAAAGGGCGAGTTCGATAAAAAAAAATTCTAAATCAATAAAGAACATTTTACAAAGAGCTCAGTTAATAAAATTAAAATGTTCATAAATAAACAAAAGATATAAAGGTATGAAACAATACCTGAAATAAGGTAAGTGGGATTTTACAATTCCATGTGTATTACAATTACCTTAATAAACATAAATACTAATAACAATTACAATACTATAACGAACTATAAAATAACCAAAAAAAAAATACACCGCCCAACAGGCGGGTAAAAAACTAGTAACATTGGTAGAGAATCACAAACTCGATATGAGAACAGTTATGGGCTTATCAATAAAAATCGATAAGACTGCCAAATTGATGCGGTTTTTATTAAAACCGAAATTCTAAACCAAACTGCCACCCTTTTTCGGGTTTGATTCGGTTAATACTAATTACTGCTAGGATAATAACATAAATATATACAAATTAGAGGGGCAAGACGATTTTGTGATGAAAATTAATGTTTGTAAGGGTTCTTAAACAAATCTAAAAGGTTAGATAGACGATTAAATATACCATATAATTAGAGTAGTACAATTTATTAGGCACGTTTCAAACTTTTTAAAATTTTAGCCAAATACTTTGAAATACAAAGTGTTAGCGAAATCTTTTGTAATGCATAAAAATATTAGTAATTTTTTTTGTTATCGTTAATAATTTTATAACTCTTTTTCTTAATTAAAATGGTAAAATTTTGAAATGTTGACCACTACATGTCTCTTCTAGCTCCACATCATATTGCCAGGTCAACCTAACCAACAAAGCTAACAGGTAGTAAAGGTTTTGCCAATACTTTGTTTTAACAAAAGATTTGGCTAATAATTTGAATAATATGGCTAATAATATTTGTATTTACTCATATAGTTATTTTCACTCTTTGTATATCTTAGATTTGATACTAGTTCAAAGCAGAACATTACATTAAATTAATTGGTAAGTGTTACTGACCATAGAAAACCAGTTAGTGAAGAACTCGAATTTGTTTTTCAGAAGAACACCTACAATAATAATTAAGGACGTGACTGAATTAAGGACGCGGATTAGAAATGTTGCTGTTATGTATAAAGAAGGCCAACTTAAGCCACCTACTACAATAATAATTAATTAGTATAAACTAAGATTAGCAAGGTATGAGTTGTGATCAGCAAGTCAGTCCGTAGAGTCCTGCAGGCTGCAGCCCCGCCAGCCGAGGATTGGGATCCGGAATCGGATTAGGATAAACCTCACAACCTTCTCGTGGGACAATTGGATATCATTAGCTGCTGCGCTTTGATCCCCCGCTTTTATTCTAAATCCCATTCCCAATTTAACAAAGCCAGCCTTAATAATAATAATAATAATAATAAATAAATAAATAATGAGTTTCCTCCTCCCTCCCACTCAGACCTTACGGTGGAATGGAATCATTCTCCAGCATCTCCATTCTTATCCGCTCCTTCTCCCACACCAAAAACACCCCATACCCGGTGGGGCCCACACCTACGTGGACCTTAGCTGTCAAACCCCTTCTCCCTCTTCACGTCCACGTCACCCATCCCCTCCTCCAGTCCTCCTTCTTCACTCATGTTCGCCGCGTTTCCCTTCGGCCACGTAGGACAAGCCTTTTTCCCCACTATAAATACAATTCCTCCCTCGAACCGCCCCACACCACCACAATCCACAAACAGGAATCAAAGGAAAAGGGGAAACAGAAAGCTCGAGAGAAAAAAAGCTGCTCGCCGCGATGGCGCTCTCCATCCCCGAGAAACAACCTTCCTCTATCTACGCCCACGCCTTCTCCGACGACTCCGCCAGCTTCTCCGACATTGTTTTCGGCTTCTTCGAACAACCCGCCGCCGAGGACGACTCTCCCTCTCCCAATACCTCTTCCGCCACCTCCACGGACTTCCCAGACGACAACGACGACGTGGCGGAAGACCCCAGCTATTCGGAAGAGAGGAAGAAATTCTGGGAAACCCAAAACGAGCTCCTACAGGTAAATTGAAGAATTCAAGATTCCCTTACTTTTCCTTCTTGTTTCTTTTGTTTGGATTGGGGCGTAAATTGGAGATTGATTCTTTGTTTCTTGCTGGTTAATTTTTTTTTTTTTCAGACGACATTGTACAGAACAACTTCCGTGGAAACCAAGATTCGTCAGGACACCAAGGATGCCCTGATCGAGATCGAGAAGCTCGGATCGAACTGCACGTGCGGAAAATCAGACGGCTGCGGCGGCTGCCGGACCTGCCTCCGAAGGGAAGTCGCCGGCAGACTACAGAGTCGGGGCCACAATTGCACGATTTGCAAGTCCAAGTGGAAGGGGAACTGCCTCGGCTTATCTGGTAAGCAGAAATTTGATATCATAAATCCCCAATTGCAGTTCTTTTCCAAAACCTAATTCGGAATTTGTACTGATTTTTTTTTTCTTTCTTTGGTTGTGAACAGGGGAGCATTCGTACTTGGAAGTGGTGGAGAATTCGACCAAGAGAGGGGAAGTGAGGGTGATCGTCGAATTGAATTTCCGGTCGGAGTTCGAGATGGCGAGGGCGAGCGACGAATACAACCACCTAATCGCCCGGCTGCCGGAGGTGTTCGTCGGCAGGGTAGACCGGCTAAAGAATCTGATCAAGACGCTCTGCTCCGCCGCCGAGGCGTGTTCGAAGGAGAAGAAGATTCATCTGGCGCCGTGGAGGAAGTACGAGTACATGAAGTCCAAATGGTTCGGTGGGTCGTGCGAGAGATTCGTCCCGGCGGCGGCGGCGCTGCCTGCTGCGTACTATCACCGGCCGGCGAAGCCCAGAGCGTCGATGCTGACTTTTGACCTGTCGGAGAACAAGCCTTTCCCGGCGGCGATGCATATGACAGCAGTTAAAGTCGTGTGAGAAAGGGTGGCCGGAGGGGTTGACAAGAGTAATTTTGATCCAAGCTTAAGAAGAAGTCGCCGGTTGCTTATTAGTTATGATGATTGGAAGAGGGGTTTGGTAGGCAACAAATTAAGATGGATGTGACTTTTTTGTATATAAGCTAGCTAAGGAGTCAGTATTATTTATGTATTACGGGTAATGAAGCTATATGTATCATAGTATATGCGGCGGATTGGTTATTGTTGTGAAAGAGGAGGAGCTAGACAATGAATGTGATTGAGATGTAAATATACCGATTTGGAGTTCCAATAGTTGTTTCTTCATAAATTGTAAAACCCAGATTGCTCAGGACTGTAATATTCTACATGTAAATGTTCTGCCTAGTTTTGAAGTTTTTGCTTTGCATTATAGTGCAGGAAGAAAAGGGTTTTGATGGTTGATGTAATGGTTGAAAGTTGTACACTTTGAGAGAACCCTTAGTTACAAGGTGTCCTAGAGCTTAATGCAATTTTGATTAACCATAAAAATATATATATATATATATATATATATATATATATATATATATATATATATATATATATATATATATATATTCTACATGATATAGTGTGCAATATGTCATTTATTTTTGTTCGGTTCTAAACCCTGGAACCTAAACAAATATAAAATGACTGGCATAAATCATGGCAATTGATCAAAATGGTTACATAAGTTCAACGGGTAATAAATGATAGTAACAAAATGCATACCTAAATAAATGTAATCACTTTATCAATTACCTGGGACCAATATAGTCAAAAGCGAGTTTCTACGTAGAAACGTTTTAGTGACTTAGAAACGTAAAATCGTAAGTTTTTAAGTTTCAAGCGCGATCCTGACTACATTGCCTTTGACCCACAGATGAGTTAAGATGACCCATTAAGGAGTTAGAATATAGGAACAAAAAGAGTTGTTACCTTTGAGTTTTGTTTATGCTCATTCCACATTATCTAGGCATTATCATAGAGTTGTACCAAGTTGCTACTCCTACCAAGGCTTTTAATATTTTAACTTAACCTTCTCAAGTATTACAAATGTAAAATATATATGATGTCATTTGGCAACTTTGCTAATCCTACCAAGGCTTCTAAAATTTTAACTTAATCCTCTCAAGTATACAAATGTAAAATATAAATGATGTGATTTGGCAATATAACAAAATGAGTTGATACTTAATAATAGGGGTGTAAGGATCATTATTTTGAGCAACAACGAGTAAATCAATTGTCCCTCAGTTAGGGCTTGACGGGTGATTCATGCAAACAATTACAATTTTTCAATGTTTCAAAAGTTAGTGCCAACACGTATAACAACTACTTAACTCAGTTCGTGCGATTGCAAATATTAACATAGGGAGTGGTGTTTTAGAGAATCAAACCATCTTAAATGAGGCAACATTCCCCCATATATAGTCATAGAGCTAGCAACATCGCTATTTCCATGATTGCCGACTATATCGCATTATTTCATGCTCCATACTCTTCTTCGCGAGGGAGCCTCAACAACGAAGTACCATTACATACATGTGGTCACCTGGCCACACATCTACAGACCAGGCGTCTGAGCATGACCATTTGGTCGGGCTGCCACATACCTCTATGTAGGTACCACAGATCCTTAACCTAATCAAAGCGTTTAGTTAGTATGCCTCCCTCTGGACATTACGCTTCGTCTTCTCCCACCTCACTTATTCATAGTTGTCCACATTGGTGGGTTGGGGTGTCCCAGAGTATTTCAACTTCGAACTCAAAGCTCCTTCTCTCGCTGGAAGAGATTCTGCATATGGCTGGCTAGGTGCACTATTGGGTGTCTATCTCTCACCTTCCGCCTAGAATGTTTATACAAGAGTACCCCGTTATACAAAACAACATATATGAATAAGAAAACTCTCTTCTTCTTTTTTCCCCGGTCATTCCTTCCCAATATTCTCTTACAGTTGTTTTTCTTCTTCATTATTTTACCATCTCTAATACATTGATTTTTCTTAACACCCACCTTTTATACCTCCATTGAGACTCAAGGAATTCAAACTATATTATATGTAATTTACATGAAGTTGGAAAAAAAATTAATAAAAAAATTATAGTGTACCCATTAGACCCTCTAATCTTTGTAAAATTGAGCATAATACATCTTGGTAATTGTTAAAAAAAAAAATACATCTTGGTAAGTATATGCACGCCATGTTAAAAAAAAAAAAAAAAAAAAAGACTTCCACCAAATTTTTTGGGAAGTTGTCGCAAGAAAGCAACATTGCTTGAGAAGATGCAACCACGAAACAAGACGAAGTTTCCATTTATTAGGCAAATTGTTTTTTTTTTTTTTTTGTGTGATTATTAGGCAAATTTCGTTTACATGTAGTTATCTTTTGTTAGTTTTGTGGTGGGTTTCTCTTTTGAATTAACTGTATATGATTTTTATTGAATTAAATTAAACTTTAAATTATTGGAATGGTATATTCTCATTGGCACAAAGCACATTCGTATGATTTATGTGTTGAGCAGAGCCCTAAATGTAGGTGAAGACAAAGAAAGAATAGTCTTCATTCCGGAGGAATTTTAAAATAGTGTTTTGGTTTTAAAAAATAATTTTTTATAGTACAAACTGAAGTTGTATTTTTGACGTTATGGTAAACATTCGATTTTAATTTATATTTTATTGTAAAAATTCTATTATGGTAGAAATTATATTTGTACCTTTATGTTAATGTTATGCTACAAACTGAACTTGTATTATAAGATAACTATACAAATTCCTTTATGATCCAAATTATATTTCTACGTTTATTTTACGGAACGGATCAAGTCAGTAATCTTATGGTGAGTAACTATGAGTAACTCGTCCACATCAGCATCCCTCTCTCTCCGGTAAAGCCTTTAATTTTCCCCTCCCTAATCTTTAACGGACGATTTCTCACTCATTTTAAGTCGAAATTTAATTTTTTTGCACAGTTAGATCAGATTAATTGTGATCTTCAAAATGATATCCACTTTGATATATTTTTCAAAAAAAAATTGAGCATTTTTTTACCAATCTATATCATATGGTATTGACTGGTATTGAAATAAGAGCATACCTATGATTTGAAAAGCGTACCATGGTGGTATGAACAAACCAAGACTGTAGGATGGTTGAATACATGATAGTAGAAGTATATTAACTGTCATTTACGACTTTTAACATTGTGTACCACAAGATACCACCCGGTACCATGGTGGTATTGTATGGTATTGTGTGGTATTTTTTAGTCCTGTAATTTGTTCATCCAGAAATTTGTAGATCCAATAGATCATGATGAACTCGTTCCTTCTGTGCAAATGTTTTCAAAAACTAATTTAAAACGAAGAAGATACCATATGGTATGCAGTTGATACCGAGAGGCAAGAAATTTTTTTTCTCAAAAAATATTGAAAATGTATCTCATTTTGTATAGCACAACGAACTCGTTCAATCTGTGCAAAGAAAATTAAAATCCGAGTTAAAACGAAGAAGATATGAGCCGATTAAGAAAGCTAAGAAAAATAAAAATGACCTTTAATTCTCCATCTTTAAATATGGATTTTCTAAATAAAAGGTCGAGATTTAATCTATACATAATATTATGGCAATTCAAAAGTAATTGTTTGCCACCTAAGCACTTGGAGAGCTCACAAATTGCCAAGGTGGACAATATTTTTACAAAAAGAAAAATAGTTATTGATATATTTATGGAGCTATCTCTCTCTTCATTTAATATTTCATTTCCCTTTTATCCTTTTTTTTTGTATTATCAATGTACACAATAATAAATAATGTATGAAAAGTGACATATATTACATTTGTTATCTCTAACTTTTTTAATATTTATTTTTCTTTTCCAATACTTCCTTTATGTTTTAGTTTTTACTTTTGCATTGTATAGATGTACGCAACAATAGACTAATGTCTTTGAGTCACACATATAACTTTTTTCTCAACCAAAAAAATATCTTATTAAAGCTCACTAAGTAAATTTTTAACTCACTTTTACAATAATTTACAAATATGTTACATTTTGATGAACAATTTATACAAACACACATACATAATAACATTTTATCGCGACAAAATAACGATGAAAATTAAAGAGAGAAAACAAGAAACGTTTGAATAGAAACTTGACCAAGCAATAAAATCTATTTCTTAAACAAAAACCTTATTCATTCTAATTAAGTGAAAAATTATTAATCATAGGTGCAATAATTTACAATTTATCCTAAGTTCAAATTACTAATATTTTGCATTTTTGCTCTAGATCGTGTTAATTTAGCAAACTCTACTGAAGTTTTACGTCATATGTTAAGAAATTTAATTTTCAGACTTGGAGTAATAAATTTTCAAGGATTATAAATCAAAAAAAATTTAAAATGACTTCGTATGATTGTTGATGAACTTGACTTCATATCTTAAGATGAAAAAAGAGATACATTAAAAAATGATACATGTGAAAGTTAAATGAATCTTTGCTAAACTCTATGTTAAACATCATGTGTTCATCAACCACTGACCTATGAAGCAAGAATAGAGAAGTTAATCATCGTAAGAGGTATGATCTTTCTTAGCAAACACATACATTTTTTTTTTTTGCAATAAAACACATGCATAAATAATAATATATTTACGAAATAAAATAATTCGATGAAAATTCAATGGAGCAAGAATAGATCACCTCATTGGATAAATGAAGATGATAAGTAAGAATAACTTTTCTCTCACTTATAATATGTCCTTCCATCCCTTATTTTCTTTTACAATTGTTCATATTTCCCTTATTTTCTTAACATTTTACAAATCCCGGTAAAAAACAAGCATTAATTACACTGAAAAATAATTAATCTCTTTTTAATATATATGCTTATATATTGACAATAAATGTGGCAATACAAAAAATGCATATATTAGTATAAGTAATGAAGTTTTTATTTCTAAACAAATACCAAACATAAATAAATTATAGAAAACGGAGTTTCTACAAGTTGTAAAATTATACACTAACGCATTATATTAAGATCAAAATTCGTATGTGAGTATCTTGGATTTAGATTCTAAAACAATATATAAACAACGACAATGAGTCTCAGTTAGTCCAAATTAAATTTCAGAAATTAGCAATTGATACATATTGTATAAAAGACTAAATACAAATAAGATCTTACAGTAAACTTATGAACATTCAAAGTGTCAACTTTAAATTGGGATGAAGAAATTTATCCAATAATGAAGTATATATACAAAGAAACTCTCCATAAGATGTCCTCATCTGAACAACATGGATTCATAATAAGATAGAAAAAATTGTACATGGACGTGGTATACCTTTGTGACATGGTTTATGATTAGAGAATTCAAACAGTATATGTGAATGTGCTAAGTATTGAGAATTTTCAATATATAGACACACCACATACTCACTTATCAATACAAAATATAATAAATTTAGAAGTTCTAAAATAGTTTAAACATATAGATAAATTGAATTA